TTGTCGTTGTTGGTGGGTGGTTGTAAAAAAGAAGAGGGGGGGGGGGGGGGGGGGGGGGGTTGACGTTTTGATGGAAAACCGACATTAAAAGTGTGTTTTAAAACTTTCCACCAGAGCAAATAGCCAGACTAGCTTTGATGAAAAGCTGAATGACAAAAATGTTTAATATTTGCACAAAAGTTGTGAACTACTGCTAAATACAATGGGCACTTAATTTTATGCATCTAAACCTGACTGTCAACATATGTTATTAACAGTTATAACAGTGAATTTAATATATTTTTGAAGTAGGAAGTTTTATCCATTTTAAATAGATAAATCATCTTAGTCGTTTGTCTTAAATTTATAATTATCGTACCAGCCCATGCCTAAAACAAACATGCTTCTGCATTTTAAAACGCTAGGATAATGTAAAAAAAAAAAAAAAATACACACAAACAAGCCTCCGAGTTAGCAACCAAATAATGAGCAATGGTACTCACCTTACCCGTATGAATTTAGAGTTTATATAGTTATTTATATATAGAGATTTTCACTTTATGGTGACGCATAGCATCCTTATCTCCAGACGGCCCTCATTAGCATGCCAAACAAAAAAAAATAATCAATAACTTTTAATTTCAAACAAAGACAAACATGGCTCAACAACAAGAGAAAATAGGATAATTGCACTTATGATTTGTTGTAGGGTTTTGTTAAACATGCTTCAGTGTGTGTAGTTGGTGCTGTCTAGAAAAAAAATACTGCAATCTTTAAAGCACCCCCATTTTGATCATGTTAAACCAAAGTGTGAACTTAAGACTCAACAGAAAAAACCCCCAAAACAAAAACAAAAAAATTTTAAAAAAATCAGTCCGCATGGTGTAAAACCCAAGGTAACACCAGGCACAAGGCAGGCAGGACCGACACCACTTCCCCTGCCCGCCTGATAAGATCCGGTTCGTCGTTTAGCTCAAAGCACTTTCTGTAGACACTGTGGGTAAAGTTTGGCCACCACACATTCAAAATGGCGACCTAAATCCCAAAGACGGTCGGGGGTTTCATAGACTTTGGTCCACGTGTCTGCCTCGTCGTCGTACTGGTAAAGGGAGTTCTTGCGGCTGGTGCGAAACACATGCTCTTCCACCATGACCTGCGTGGCACGTACGAACAGGTGCAGCTTTCCCTGCAGCAGCATGGCCTTGATGTATGGGCTCGTGGCTTGGTCAAAGGGCAGATCTCTCTTTCGACTCCATGTGTTGCTCTCCAAGTCATAGACCTCCACTGTAAAGGTGCGCTGGTGGTTCCTGCAAATTCCAGCAATGTAGTAGATGCAGTTCTTATACAAGGCAGCCAGACCTTGACTCCGAGGGACGCCCATTGGGGCTAGATGGCTCCAATAGTCCTTACGGGGGTCGTAGCAGAAGAAACATTCACCTGAAAAGGATTTAAAGATTTTAATTAAATCGATGAACACAAGACTTTTCTTTAAGAGTATAAACTCACCTTGGAGGACATAGATTTGGTCTTTATATTCCACCGCACTGTGAAACTCCATGGCAACCGGCATTGGACTGACTGCCGTCCAACAGTTGTCTCTGGCATCGTAACACTCCACTGACTTTAACGCGTTCCTTCCGTCCCCTTCGTAAACTCGGCCTCCTAGAGCATAAAGTTTCCCACAACAGTGCACGAGTTTGCATCCTATCCTCGCCCTCAGCAGAGGAGCACGTGGAAGCCATCGGTTTCCTGCGTGCTCATACTGCCAGAAGTCACTCTCCGCTCGATGGTCGATGCAAACCTCGCTGTTGCTTGGTCGGTAGCCGCCAGCGATGTAGATGTCGTTCTCTGGCGACACCAAGATGCCGACCTCTCTGAGATCATTGGGTGGCTTGCAGAGCTTGAACACCCGTCCGGTGGCCGTGTCCAGGCAAGGCACCGTCTGCTTCTTTCCTGAGTGTTTATGGGCCGCGTCGAAGCAGATCACCATCTCAGAGGCGGTCATGCCCAGACGCTGTGGACAGCCGTTTGTGCCGGTGAGGCGAGCTTTTGCCTCGGCGGGGTCTTTAGAGAGCAACAGGGCGCAGGCGAAAGGCGCAGGTATCCGACTGAGAAAGGCCTCATCCAGCAAGGGCAGACGGATGCATTGGGAAAACACCTCGGGGAGGCTGGCTTCGCGGCCAGGTTGGTCATGCTCAAGCCAGCGGATGATGCTCTCGTAGACGTGCTCTTCCTTCTCCACATTTAAGTCGTCGCTGTTTAAAATACTGACCAGCTGCTCCTTGGTCATCTGGAGAAATTCTTGCTCCTTTGAAACACACAGAAACTGCCACAAAAGATGCAAAGTTTAGCCTTGCACACAAACACTTATTGCAAAGGAAGACTTTTACAGGATAAAGGTGACCCATTATGTTTTCTTGGACAGGTCCAGAAAACACGTTTCGTATGTTTAAACATACGAAACATGTAAATTTCATTTCTTGCACAAATTCAGTCTTTGATAATCAGATCTTAGTCTGGTCAGCTCTGCCCATTTTGATCTACTTTCAGCATGAGCTGCTTCAGGGCCTCTTGTCATTTAAATCCAAATGAGCTGCTGCTTTCCATATCAACATTGACATGTAAAAATGGCTGCAAACAGATGCACAATTATACAACTACACATCTTTGAAAAGCAGTAGTAGAGCCACCAACACAACCAACAAGAATACAGCAAATGGTTCTGAATAGTAGAACAGCAACAAAATACTTTGTCTTTTGACGCAGTAAAACCAGCTGATCAAACATGCTGGAGCTCTGCTTAGGTTGCTAGGTGAAGGCACAGTGACTGTCAATTGACTCAACAATTGAGAATTTTTGAAACTGTTCATTGTCCAGACACCAAAATAACAAAAATACCTGGGCGTTTTTTGTTTTTTTTCCCCCCATACTTGGGTTATGTTTAACAGCAGTTGAGACCCAGATGGAAGTATAAAAACATGCAAAACGTCAACTTTGCATAACAGGTCCCCTTTAACCCTTGTGCATGCGAGGACTGAGGCAAACGTGGAGGACTGTTGCAAATGATACAAGTTTTACAGGTGTGGGGTCGGTTGGACCAATTTTGTAAACACAAGGTTTAAATTATCCTAAATTGTTCAACTGACCTTCTTGCGGATGTAGTCCTGCGAGCGTTCCCTCAACTCCTGATGTCCATATGCATCTGCGAACATGAAGACGCCTATACAGTTTTGAGGGTCAAGTCGGCTGATCATAAACTGGGCACACTGATCCTGCAGAGCAGGGATCTGGAAAATGCTGGCTGCCGTGAACAGAGCCTGGACGTTGGACTCGGAGAGCACGACTCTGGAGGTGTAGGCATAGTCAAGGACAAGGTGCATGGATTCAGATTCCACACCCACAATTCTGACTTCACGCTGGCTGCTCTCTGTAAGGCCGCTGGTGAACATGGACCTAAAGATGACAAAAAGCCCGCCCCCCCCCCACATGAAATCAGTTATACCAATTCATGTCTAGCATTGTTTAAACAACTGAAAAGTATTATTTATGTCAAATCATTTTCAACCTAAAGTATGGGCTGATGGCTGCAAGAACATTCCGGTGGCACGCAAAAGTCTTGCCGTGGTCCACTTCTACGACAATATCTGTGAGTTGTGCTTCATCGTACAAAGCTTTGAGCTGCTGAAGGACGTTGCAGGCGTGGACAGCATCTACCCCGTTGTAGTTGGTGGCTGGAGGTGTCCCATTTTGTACTTGTAACAGCTTGCCTACCTCTAAAGAATGATGCAAGGAGAGAAAATTATTTCACCTTTTGAAACAACTAAAAATACAATACACATGGGGATTAAACTTTAACTGACAAGTTATGCTAGAAACCAAACATGCTCAGATTAGGTTTCCAGATTAGAAATTAAGCCCAACTCTCAAATCAATGCCATGAAAAAAATGAGGAAACTTATAACACCATTTCAACAGCATCTCCTTTCTTCCCCTCACTCCACTATGTCTTAGAAAATCTTTCAGATATCTCAGCCGAATTTATACTTCTACACCTAAAACAGAAAACTGAATAATTTAACTGAGATCAGAAATGTTTTTATTATTAAAATGTCTGAAAATAGATAATCTCCATTTAAGAATATGTGAATGCATAATAAACTTAAGTGTTGCACAAGTCTGTATACCCATGTATTAGCAAGGGTCGAATATAGATGTCAAGCTATACCACAGGTTTGAATTTAAAAAAAAAAAGATACCAAAAATCTATGTAGTTTTGAAACTGAAGCACTGTTCCAACAGTCTATTAAAATGTCACTGAAAGTTAAAGAGCAACACATCATACCTCCTCCACATCTTACTAAACCCTGCTAGTCAGCTGACCTAAAGATTTTGCTTACAAGTGAGACAAATACAGCTATTTTGAGATGGTTCTGTACACAAAAAATGTGGTCAGATAAGGTATTGGACGCACCATTCTTCTCAAATTTATACACTTAAAATTTTTCCAATTTCTGGCTAAGGAACATAAAGTTAGTCTTTTATATTATCTAAAAAGCATGAAGTCTCAGAGTTTCAACATTGGACTCGGATACTAATGAATAGAAACAATGAAGCTCAATGGATGTAGTGTCAGTGAACTGGAAGTTATTCTGAGTTGTTTTAAAGGCTAATGTGGATTCTAAAACTCATTTTAGGTTTGGTTTCCAACTCTGTGTTGAGGTTCAAATCGGGTCATGCGCTTAACATACAAGTTTATAACCAAGTTAATTCTGTGGCGTTTCCCTAAAACAGGAACCTTAAATTACAACATGACTATTATTACATGTCAGAGCTGTATGACGGGCCTCACGATGTTTAAACCGCAGCTTTGCTGTCTTTGAGAAACTTGAAGTACTTTTCAACACATACCTCGTGTTGAGCAACACCAACTCCTTGACAGGACAAAGGCTGGCAATGGATGAATAGAAACTACTGTCTCGCCAGGTGGTAGCTAATTTGCTAACATGTCGAATGCCCAACGTCTCTTTTAGTAGCGGGGGGAAAAATGAGTAAGGACAAACTCTAAGAGTGCCTTAGTGCTTAAAATTGGGACGGAGTAGCGCAATATGTTCGTCATAAAAAAATTAGCTATATTGCCATTCAAGTTGGAAGACGTGTAAGCTTAACTTTTAGCAGCACATAGGCAGAGAGCTAATGTTAGCAAGCATTCTTTGACACAAAATTGCGAGCTACAAGGGGCAAAAAGTGTTTTTGGCATCTACATACACATCGTTTAAAACTATAAAGCTACATAACACGACATCACCCAAATGACTGTGTTGATATCGTTAATGAATGGTATTTGTCCAGTGTCAGTCTCTTGTCACAAACAAGTGTTTACACAATCAGCTGTGGGTAGCGAGCTAACCGGCCGAAAGTTAGCCACACAGCTAACGTTAGCAACATAGCCAAGCAAACGACAAACAACTGTTTGGAGTAGTCATAAAGAGGCATGACTTCCTCCGACGAGTACGCAACGTGTCACGAATTCTAACTCGTCCAACAGGCCGTGCTCGGTAAGTTGCTAAACACGCACGCTATGACTTTAAAAAGCGTTATTTCAATGTGGTTAGAGCAGAAAACAATGAAGACTTTGCTAACCTCCACTGGCAGCCATTCTCCCCAGTCTGTCTCAGAGCAGACCGAGAAACGTCAGGGAGTTTACATCCCAGCAACGGAACAAGAAGCGGCCAATCACAAGACGGGCTCTCGTGCGACAGCCAATCAGATGCTGTTTGCCTGGTACAAAAGGGAGAAAAGTTAATGGTGGGTGAGGCTACAAATCGGAGCTGATGATCATTAACAGGTGCGAGCAAAGTAAGAGAGCAAACTTTGTAACTTAAATTGTTGCTAGTTGATTGATAATCGTGTTTGGAATAGTTTTAAAATGAAATAGCCACATATCAATGGATTGTTTACATGTGTTCCTTTAAAATTAGAAAGGAGCAAATGTAAAGAGATAGGGCCAGGGAAAGAGGAAAAGTGTAGTTTGCTCAATTTTGAGAGTTCTGCACTTAATAAGCTATCATGACTGACATAAAAAATGAATTAAGTTTATAAAAAATAAAAAAATAAAAGATCAATTGCAACGTCACGTTATGGGTTTTTGTATGCCTGCTTAATTCATAATTTAGTTGGGGAATTCATAGGGTGATTTGATGCAAACGTGCAAACAACCCAGATAGCACAGAATGATTGAAACAACATTGAATC